TTGCGTGAATACACGCTTTGGGCCATTTGGTGGCGCCCACTGGTTTAGGCCAGGCCTCTCTCACCGGCATAGGCTTTTTGAACCTCAAGTCACCGACTGGTGGCTCGGCGTATGGTATGCCTAAAAAGGCGTTTATTTTGACGCCATATAACTGGTCCGCAAAGCCGGTGATCAGACCGTTGGTCACTCTAACGCTGACAATTGTGTTGGCATTTTTCGTTTCGCATTTAATTACTGCCTTTGATAATAAAACCAAAAACAAACACTTAATTGTAATTTTTATCAACATTATTTAAGGATTAAATAAAATATATAACTTGAAAATTTATAAATTATAACATGCTTTCTGTTTTTTATATTTTATAATAGAATGCTATTAATTATTTTTGCAATTAAAAAAATACCGTATGTTTTGCGTTAAGTATAGACATCGTAAACATGTCATTAATAATAATTTATATATTATATACAATATATAAAGTGACAATTTTAAGTTTAAACAAAAGTTGTGAAATGTAAGTTGCGGTTGGGTTGAGGGACCCAACATTTGAACGTATTTTAACAAAACTTTTCCTTATTTAAAAGGACAAATTAAATAAATACACATTATAATAAACATTAAATAATATTTAATTTAACACAAATGTGGACATTGAGAATGCTGTGTTTGACATATCGTATTATAAACAAAATAAAATAATATTAAAAGTTATGTTTTAAATTTAAAAACAATGAGATATAAATTACATTTAAAATCATCATAACAGTTAATTTACCAGTAATCAACAACACGTCAACATAATCACTTTATTAACAATGAGCTACATTTATAAAACAATTTGTTATTTTTCAATTTGAACCAAGTAGATCATGAACATATTTAGACAGTCTTTGTTTATGTCTGTATTAAAATAGCTATTGTGTAATACTCTACTTATTTTAACCAATATTTATTATACTAAATTTAGCAATTTATATTTTAAAGTAATTAAAATAAATTAAACGTTATTGTTTGTGTAAATTTATATAAAAAGTGATATTTCTATGTATATTATAATTTATAAATAGAAAACAATATAAAAGTATATTTGAATACATCAATTTGTTAATTAATGTTCGCATCATTTCAATCATTGTAAATATTCAAACCAAAGGGAATCGCATTCAACGGACTTTACATTTAAACCAAAATTAGTGTTAACTTTGGGCTCAACAGTGAACTCATAATACGGAGCGATAACTGTATTGTCGTTAACCGTATAATACGGCCGCCAATCGGCGCCCGACTGTTTGGGCGGCTGTCCATTGCGTGCAAATTCCGTAAACACATCAATCATTTGGGCCGATATTTGGCGTTCCCGGCGGTCATACCTGTCGTACTCTTGAAACGGTAGACCAAACACGGGATAGATATCATCGAAATGACAGACACCCATCCAATCAGAGCAAAACAATTGATGTCCGGCCGTAGACTTGGCGTTATAGTAGTACTCGTATACACGACTCTTCGGGTGTCCGGAGTGTATATATCGGGCAAACAATTTTGTTGGACACGTGAGCCAAAGGTCACCCACCAGTCGGCCAACGGTCTGAATTAAAACTTCATGATTGGTCTCATTGGACAGACCGTTGAAGTATGTGTCGACCACTTGCTGAGAGCCAGTGTGGGGCAGGCGGTGAAAGCCTGTTAAAAAGCTGATGGCATATTCATACGCATCGTGGTAACTAATGGGCAGTGGTTGCCACTTGTTAAACTTAATAGGGTCAATAAACGAGCCGAGAAACATACTACCCTCGTTGTCTACCGTACCGATTAGCACATTTATATCCCGCTTATAGTCGCCCGACTTAAGCAATTCTAAGGGATTGTTGGGTACAAACTCGCCATCAATCATGAGATCCAGTTCGCAGCGACTGAGCCCTAGACCCCTGGCTTTAAGTAGATCTTCGGTGGACAGTCTGGCCATACACTCAATCATCTCCGGTGTAAACTCATGGGCTGTGCCATCGCTGGCAGACCCGCAACCGAAAGCCACTGCCCTTTCATACCATACACTCTCGGCGTCGGTAGAGGTGCACAGGGTTTTAGAGGCGGCGCCCGACATAATGATAGCCCTCTGGAATAAGTGACGAGTAATTGGGGACAAAATGTGGAGACTGGTCGATATGGCACCGGCCGACTCGCCAAACATTGTTATGCGCTTAGGATCGCCACCAAAATAGGCTATATTGTCGACCACCCACTCCAGCGCCAGCG